TAAATGTGATATATAATACCAGTGGCAAAAGCCAGTGATATTTAGCATTGCTCATGCCCAGACTTTGTGGTAAGGCTTTATTTACTTTTCTGCCATTTAAGTATTTTTGATATTTGTGAAAGAGGGTAGCTAAATATCAACTGTGGAGAATGAAACCCAGTAATTCACTAGTACCACACTGCCCACAAAATAACTCTTACCACTCGCAGAACTGCGACACTGTACAAGTGCTAAAAGTGTTCTTGCCCAGTGGCATCTTAACAGTCTGATTTCCTATTGGCCTTACAGGCCTGAAAAGTTCTTTTCGTTCCCCTCTTGGTTGTGAATTATCTGTGCTGCTACACGCTCCATTTTCCTTGATGAACACCTCAAAAGCCCGAGCTGTATTCTGCATTGACTGCTGCTCTGGCAGGGAAACAAGGAGGCTTCCAGCAGCTCTGTTGGGTTGGGGTAGGCTCCCGAGGTGAGCTGAGCGGATGGAGGCTCAACCCCCAGGCTCTGTGCTGGGGCACAGATTTGCCTCATCCCCACTGCTGCTGTCCTGCAGCTGCTGTGCCTGGAGAGCCCATCAGCTCACTGCTCCTGAGAAACATCCCCTTCTCTCAAAATCCCAACTCCCTAACCACTTGCATCAGGTTCTTCTTCAGGCTTGCCCTCAACCTTCACTACTGCTCTTCCAAGAGTAGTGCTAATCTCCACCCCACTTTTCACTTCAGCCTCTTTTAGTTCCCACCTTTGATGTGATGACACCATAAAATGCCACCTTTACAGTGTAAAACCACCCAGTATTAACACAGCCTGCCAACAGTCTTATTCCTCAGCTCTGCAATCATCCATGGGATGCTTTTCAAAACATACTGAAAAGTCATAAAACATCTGGCGTCTGCTGGAGCCGTGGTGACTTCTCTTCACAAGAGAAGAGCCATGGTGACTTGACTTCTTCACAAATGTGCTGTATCCACCTGCGACATCCTTCCTGCATCGGCCATTGTTCCAGGCTTTCCTGCAGGCACCCGATGGGGCAGTTCCGTTAAACCATTTTCTGAGTGTGGAGCTTCTGTGAGAGCAGAAGTGTAACAGGCTGCAGACTATGTCCTGAACTTGTAAAAAGAGTGTTTTTCCTGCATTGCCTTCTGCTGTGATATTCAATGACAAACATCCTCCGGGCCTATATTTAACCAAATACAAGTACATCCCGATATTCAGCAAGGACTCTCTCAAACTTTCCAAACCTAAATGCTCCATATGAACTGAATGACACCATCGCTAATTTATGAATTACCCCATCCCGAGTGGCCCAGAGGAGTGACTGCAGGCTCAGAGTAATGTGGGGCCACCTCCGCCTGGCCGCAGCCCCTGCCCAGGGGCAGGGCAGCACCGCGCAGCAGTCACTGCGTGCCGCTCACGAACCCAGATGTCCCCTGCCCCAAAGCCAGCTGGTCCTTGCTGTAGCTGTGTTGACATGACACAGCTGGGAAGTGTCGCGACCCCAGGTCCAGGCTGTAGGCTGTCAAAGCTTGGGTCACAGGTTGTAAGGCAGCCCCTGCTCCTCTTCATGAGCTTTTAAGATCACGGCCCAGGAAGAAGGTAGCTGCAGGTTCATACATCAGTTCACAACAGGTTAGCTGAGATATATCAAAGGTAGTAACAAGGGCAGGGGTGCCCCACAAGCTTATAGAGAAAGTGGGGCTTTCCAATTCTGCAATTCTTCCAATTTCCTTTCTTTAGAGAACTCCAGGCACTGCTGGTGCTGCACTTGGTGCAGCTGAAAGGCAGCCAGAGCAGGGCTTGCTGTGGCACTGGCACCTTGGAGCCAGCTGGGAGCGGGGCACGGGGAACAGCAAGCCCAGAGCAATGGGGGCTGCAGCAGCTGGCAGAGCCCATGGCCCGGGGAGGCTGCAGAGTCCCGGCTCTTACTGCCTCACTGACATTAGTATCCAGCAGAGCTGGGTTACAGAAGAAGTCCGAGATGGTGACTGACCTGGCAATTCCTGTTTTGACAGCCGCGTGCAAATCTCACTTCAGAGGGTACTGTAACTCAGCACTGTATGGGGCTGAGGGCGACAAGGAGCTTCAAGGGGAAGCGTGGGCACCTCCTAAAGCTGATCAGCTTTAGCAGGCCAGGGGAAGCTTCTGTTTAGCTTTAGCTGCCAGCCCCAAGGGTGCGTTTAAACTCTTCTCTCCAGCAGAGGTTTCCACCCCATGCATTGTGCCACATGCGAAATCACTGGTTTGACACCAAATTCAGTGGGAAGGCACTTCTGGTGGAAGTTTAGGATGGACCAAAGTATGGTTATAAATGCTTCATTATCTATATGTAAATATAGATAGATAGATATACATGTACAGACATCTATCTACGTGGATATATATATACTTAAAGATACACAAAGACCCTTTTAGACCCTTTCCCAAATTTGTAAGTGATTGTGCTTATAAAGGCAAAATTAGCTTTAGAGCAAAGCCAACTTGGGATTGTTATCCATGTCACAATAGTTTCTGAAAAACTGATGGCAGGACTTAAAAGTCACCAATAAAATAATTTTAGAAGTATTTTGGCAGTTCATGGTTCTTCTTGTTACTTACTGCTTGATGCCTTACTAGTTTGGTATGTCACCATATAGCAATAAAGCAAAAGTCTTATCTAGCAGGCTGGCTGCTTAGCTTGCAGGAAGCTATACCGTAATTTGGAGGAAAAAAGAAAACTTGGAGCATTATCAGTAAAACAGAGACTCTAACCTTATCTTTCATGCAATATTTGCTCTGCAGACATGCAAAAACTTACTTTAAAAGATAACTGTGACCTTTCAAGAACCCAATTTCATTTTAGCAGGAGAGCTTCATGCTTCTCTGCAAGTGTGAGATATATCTATTAAATTCCTTTCAAAGGCCTTGCCTGACCTATTTATTTCTCAATTGAGGGCCAAAGTAGCTCAGTATCAAATAACTGCAAGTACCTTAGTAACTCTGGAAGAGTGTAGCTGCTGGATCAAATGTTCATCTTGGTCACACTGTTTTGAAATGCAACAAGAGTCACTTCATTATCTTTGGAAGGATTATAATGTAATATTATGACAAGAGTCTGCCCTACTCTCAAGGCATGGATAACGGGGGTTTGAGTCTTGAATATGTCAATACCATTGCAAATGGAAAAGGTCTATACTCAGCATCAAGAACAGAGTCACGTATTTCCACATGTAACACAGTATCCTTTACTTCATTAATCTGTAATGAAATCATTTAGAAACAGAGAATTGTATATAGTAGTTCAAAAGCATTCAAAGGACCCTATGCACTACTAATTTTTGATATGTAAATCTGTAAGCACTCCCAGAAGGGCCATATACCCTAAAGACTTCAGGTTATTGAGGTAGCTACTTTATGAAGTTACTGCCCCGTCTGCTGAACCGTGGCA